GGGAGGAAGCCAGCTAAAGTTCAGCGAGCCCTGCGGAAACCTCCCAAAGCGGCGCTTTCCCCAATGGAGGAGGAGGAGGAGGAGGGGGAGGAAGCCAGCTAAAGTTCAGTGAGCCCTGCAGCTCTTTGGAAACCTCCCAAAGCGGCGCTTTCCCCAGCCTGTTATTTGAATTATCGCAAGACCCGCGTGTCGCCGACAGCGCAGCCCTGTCGCTGCTCTGGACAGGGGGGTGAAAGAGTGAGGGGGGGTCGGTTGTGTTTCTTCGTGTGTTCCTTCCAATCACACGTGTGGCGTTAGAGACACTGCCAGATTGCCTGCTGCTGTCTGCTGTGGACAGAAGAGGCTTTAAAATATCATTTTATCTAACCTGATGTTATTTCAGTGTTAAAAAGCATTCTTCCGTGGTTCAGAATATGTGGAATTACAGTACGAAAGCAGTTTTGGCGTGTGACAACGTGGCTTATTTATGCTGTCTTCAGCAGGAGGGTTTTTAATCTTTCTATTAATTTAAAGACCTGAGCGACATAATTATTTCCTGCAAAAATCACAGGGGCAGTAATTGCCTGGACCCTTCTTTTCCTGTTGTGCAGAGACCTGTTAATGGGATTCTTCTCTCAGAAAGAAAGGTCTCCTTAGCAGCATTTAATGGCAAGAATGGAGCAGTGTCAGGTAGAAACTGAAGGTATTTCAATGAAGAGGAGTATTCTAAAGAATTCCAAGCTAAACTCTGGAGTGTTCGGTGTTTTGCAAATTATTCATGAAGTCATGTATTTAAAAAGTAGAAATGATATGCACTTAAGTGTGAAATTTAATGAGAAAGTAGTAAAGTTAAAACTTGAAAAGTTGAGTGTGCACGTAGAAAATAGAAATCCAGGTTGCATAATTAGGGGAGGTGAGAGAAAGAGGGGAGGGGATGACATAAGAATTTCCAGCCATTTACAAATGGGGAGAGACTATGCAAATGTATGTATTTATGAGTTTGCCTGAGAGGGTTTTGTAAGCTCTGATACAGGCTCTTGTTTGGCTTTATTTGGTGCTGAGGTGCAAGTCCAAACATGCCAAAGGGCCAGGGCCACACGCGCAGGGCTACTGGGGCCTGGCAGGGTCCTGCTGCGTGGGCAGTGCTGGGGGAATCATGGAAACTGGAAACCACATCATCCAGTGACAGAAACTTTGGGACAAGGCTGGAGAGAGGCAGGTGTTTGGTGCTTCCAGCTGTAACACACTCACTTCCTCATTCTGCCTTTGCCGGAGTTTTTCTGCTGGGAATTTGCATTCCGGTTGGTTGCTCTGCCCAGAATTTGGGGGAAAACAGGGACAAAATGAATCCTATATTTCTAAAAGCAAGCTGAGGGAAGAAAAAGATGTCTTGCCTATTTTCAGTACTTCTGACCTGTCACTGAACAACTTTGTTTCCCACGCTTTGGAGAAGGGAGCTACATGTTATTTTGCATGTATTTGCATCTGGAATGTGCTTTTTGTTGTTCCCTCTGAAAATCTTCCCGAGTCTGGGCAATTAACAGCTCTCTGAAAAATGCACATCCTTTGATTTTTGTTTTTTAGTAACTTCAATGTCTGAAGATTCTGTCCTCAACATACTGGAATCTCCAAGAGCTTCCAGTGGTGGCTGAGCTGACTCTGTGCCCGTCCCAAAGCATAAATGAAGGTGCTGTGGCTTCAGATGATAATAAACCAGATTGTCACTGTCACGGTGACAGTTCCAGTTGGCCTTGGCCAGTTTGGAGCTAAGAGCTGGCACTGGCTGAGCCTGCTGTGGTGACTGGATGGGAGATTTGCTGGCACAACACAGGGAAAATGGATTTGTAAAATAATTGAAGAGTGGGGCAGGCAGAGCAGGGGAATGGGAGTTCTGTGAGCGTCGGCTTAACATAACTTTATATATACAGAATTTTAATACAGAGTGAACAAAAAGCAAAGGGGAGGTGTGAAGAAGAACTACCCATACTTAGCTCTTCTTTGTTTATAATGTTTTCCTAATCTTAGTTATTAAAATGAAGTTTTAATTTCTTTAGAAGTTATTTGCAAAGGAAAAACTGTGTCAGAAATATCATTGATGTCAAATTTGAATATATCTCATAAACTTTAGTCTTTGAAAAAAAATCCTTCTGGTTTCTATTACCTGGGTTTTTCATCTTTTTTGGTATTGCAGTGTCAGCTCACTGTTCCAGCAGGTATCGTGCAGAATATTCTGGAGATCTAGGTTTCCACTGCTTGTGCTGGAAGCGTTGGCCAAGTGTTGGCCAAGTGCAGGGCCGGGTGGATTTTGGTGCCTTCAGGCCATCCCAGTAGCAGAGCCCTCCCCAGGGAAGGTGCTCTGTGTTCCCTGGCTGCCACCCTGCTGTGTTTCACCACAGCTTCTTGCTTTTTTTTTTTTTTTTCAGTGTACCATTTGCACACTCAAACAAGAGAGGGCAAACGTGGAGTTTCTTTAAACAAGGGATTTATTTATCTCAAGAGTATGCAAAAGATGAATTGCTTTGGGTATCTCCCGCCCATTGCTTTGGGTCTGATTCAAAACAGCAAAATCATCGTGAAGGTGCCATTTACTTCGCTTGGCCTTAAAAAAACCTTTTAAAGGATAACAACAGAACTTCATGTTGTCGTTGTCATATTATGTGTATCTTTAAAAGTGAATAATTTTATTATAATCTGACACGGGCATTTTCTAGTGATGTGAAAGGTCCTTCGCTGTCAGGAGGATGATGATTTTATGGCTCAAAGTGTTTTTAGTTTTTGACATTGAATAACGCTGGGTGTTGAGGTGTGAGGATGAGCATCTGACAGCAGGACCTGGAGGTGAAGTGGGTTACCCCACCACTGAGGATGGTGCTTCTGCTGATTCAGGGGGTTCCCCGTTCCTCTGGTTGTACAACGCGCATCAAGCCAGGACGGGAACCGGATGTTTAGAAAATTATGCCCAAATACAGTCCTGTGCATCATCACAAATGACACAGAATTTACATGTTTTGCTCTGTGGGCATGCAGGGGTGTAGACTGTATGTCTCAGAATGGGATTTATAATTTCTTTCATATGCAAATGAACAAAGTGCCTGTACTTGCTGTCAGAGATAAACATCATTCCATAAATACAAGCACAGCCTGCCTTCCTGCCAGAACCACGGTTACCTCGGAGAGTTCTGGGTACCAGGTGAAACAGGAACAGTCCTGAGGCTGCTTTAACCAGGCCGTTAAGCATCCTGGGGTGAAGTCTATCAGACTCGGACAATCTGCAGACCTGGAATTTATTCCTCTATCTAAGTGGTACTTTCCGGGTTCCAGGGTGAGCTCTTACATTGTGACAGTTTTAAGTAATGACCAAAATGACTTGTTTTTGGCTTTTTGAACAAAGCCTCTAGCCTACTTAGCAAGGATGCTGTTCCTTCTCACTGAGTCAAGAATACTTAATATTCCCTTGGTGTTGTTAGTGTTATTTTATTTTGTATCTTGAG